ATCATATACTGTGGTTATATGACACTGTATGTCATATACTGTGGTTATATGACACTGTATGTCATATACTGTGGTTATATGACACTGTATATCATATACTGTGGTTATATGACACTGTATGTTATATACTGTGACCATATGACACTGTATGTCATATACTGTGGTTATATGACACTGTATATCATATACTGTGGTTATATGACACTATATGTCATATACTGTGACCATATGACACTGTATGTCAGTGTCTGGTCACCTGTTGGCTCTATGCGACCTACCGATGATCTCACTCAGACGATAGACGAGTGAGATGATTTTAAATTGGCCTACAATATTAGATACTAACTTGGCCTACAATGCCACATGATGCGGGTGCGGAAGAGTGGGATGGATGGATCCCACAAGTGCCTCAGAAGACACCACCGACACAACAAAATGGCCCTGTCCTGTGGGCGCTGTAATGGGACCGGCCAGTTACGGCAGTAGTCCCACAACCTTAGACCCTAAAAACCCTAAACCTTTACTCTGATTTAATCCTAGCTGCTCACGTATATCTAGAGGATTCAGGTTTAGGGTTTGGATACTAGGATATTCTATATCTATGTATGACGAGCCCTCACATACCTGTGATTCCAGCCCCCGAGAAAACAAGAGACGTCAAAGTTGCCAAACTTGTCATACAGCAATCGTGCAGAGTTCACAGGCGCACCCACTAACGCTCCACCGTAGTACCGTTTCACCAAAGGAAGGAAGTCTGGGGCAGGGGAATCATGGCGGTGATGAGGCAATTACATACACACACACACACACATATATATATATATATATATATAGTGATTGATAAAGATAGAAAACTTTGAATGTTGCATATATATATGAGTGATTGATATATATATAGAGACTACTTTGACTGTAGCATATATATGAGTGATTTATGTATACATACTACTTCGAATGGTGCATATATATGAGGGATTGATATATATATATATATATATATACACTACTTCGAATGGTGCATATATATGAGGGATTGATATATATATATATATATATATATATATATATATATACACTACTTCGAATGGTGCATATATATGAGTGATTGATATATATATATAAACCACTTCGACAGAGTGATGGCGGAACGAACCTATTGTTCTAAATACTCATAACTACTTCTACTTCACGTACAGTTACTTGTGCTCCCCATTCACTTACACTACATCCACCAACCTTTTGTGTGATAGATTGTGTACATGTCATCGTATTTGTCCTTGTGTTCCATCTACCTACACTACATCCACCTACCGTGTGTGCGATAGACTGTGTGCATGTTATCGTATTTGTCCTTGTGTTCCATCTACCTATACTACATTCACCTACCGTGTGTGTGATAGACTGTGTTGTGTGCATGTCATCGTATCTGTCTTTGTGTTTCATCTACCTACACTACATCCACCTACCTTGTTTGCGATAGACTGTGTGCATGTCATCGTATTTGTCCTTGTGCTTCTCGTGAGTGTACAGGCGAGAGCTTTTGATTGCAGATCCAGGGGCTACAGGAGCCAAGGCCACTCCCGCCTTCTCCTCTTCCGTCTGAGTTGTAGGGTTGTAGGGTTGTAGGGCTTAAGTGGCCTGTGTTGAGGTTTTAGGGTTTAAACACACACACGACTATTGTCCAGAAGTGAAGTGAGATACGATCGCACAGAGACACTGTGACTAACGACTGTGGTGACAGAAACGGATTGAAGACGTTCCATGCACACGCTTTGTTATGAGAAAGGACCGTCTCTGCCAGTGCAAGTGAAGGGCGTCAGTGGGTCAGGCAGTGACAGAGACTCTTCTTCGGCAGAAGAGCATGGATATAGAACCACACACGGCACCACAGGCATATGTAAATTACACACCACACCACAGGCATATGTACACACACCATAGTTATACACCACACCACAGACATATGTACACACACCACAACCGATAGTGTGCAATTGACACGTTGATACCGAGAGCACTCAATTACGCAGAGACACAGCACACCATCGCTAAATGCGATGACTGACTGCGTATGACGTATTGTATTGAAGGGTTTAGGGTTTAAGGTATAGAGTATAGGGTATAGGGTATGGTGGACGTACCCAGTAGTTCAAGCGCAGAGTGTCGCCGTCGACTGTGTAGAACCAGATGTCCAGGAATGGATAACGGTACTTGTGGGTGGGGCTGATGCGCTCAGCACGACTGTACCACATCTGCAGAGACACAGGCGGTGTAGCAAATGGGCAGAGGATGGGTCCATGTTATGGTTAATGTGGTAATGTTATGGTTTATGTGTGTCTATGATATGGTTTATGTGTTAATGGTATGGTTTATACGTGTTCATGTTATGGTTTATATGTGTAAATGTTATGGTTTATATGTGTAAAAATGTTGTGGTTTATGTGTGTTAATGTTATGGTTTATATGTGTTAATGTTGTGGTTTATATGTGTAAATGTTGTGGTTTATATGTGTTGATGTGATGGGTTATGTGTAAATGTTATGGTTTATGTGTTAATGTTATAGTTTATGTGTGTTAACGTTGTGGTTCATATGTGTTAATGTTATGGTTTGAACGTGTTGATGTTATAGCCGGTCTTTAGTGCATGTGTGAGTATGTCATAGTAAGTCTGTTTGTTGCATCCATTAGTTGGCACAGAAACCCCCCCCCCCCAAAAAAACAAATAAACAAAAACAAACGAGTCGTTTGCGTTGAAGGCGACTGCTCTGATGAGCATCT